AAAAAAAGTCAGCATAAACTGACAAGAGTTTAGGTAGATAAAACCTATGTTAATGTTAAAATGTTGAAGGTCAAAATGTTACATTAATGCTGATGAAATATGCTGACTACTACCCCAATATTTACTTATATGTGTTTTTTTTTTTTATCTTAAATTTTATAGTTTTACAACCATCAAAGATATTCTTTACATTTTAATTAGTACTGAGGTTGGGACCAACCAGAGGCTTAATGTGAGCCTCCTTTACCTTCCCTAAAACTAATTCTGACACATCTTGTTGTTAGAGCACGATCTGATCCCATCTAAACCCTAACTGTCACTTTAAAACACAGTAAAACTCTAAAACCTCCTGGGAGATGCTGAAACAGCAGTCAAGTAAATATTCATCATAATTGGCTTAGATGTTGCAGACAAGGAAAGAACAGTTTTCTCCATAATTAAACTTGCAGCGGCCACGTGGAGAGGCCACCCTATTTTCTGGTAGAATGTTTTAAGATCAAATTAGAAAATTTAAGTTTTGACAATATTGGCAAGAAAAAATACCAGGAGGTGGTTAATTCATTCTGTTGTGAAGCACAGTGTTGGTAGCATCATACTGAGGGTCTGTTTGCTGAAAGTAGTATCGATGAGTCACATCATGTGAATAAGAAACAGTTATACATCATATTTTACAATTTTATCTCAAACAGAAAATATAGGAAACCTCCTGTTTCTGAATGGACAAATAAGGCCATCAGTAAGTTACATCCTCACCTCTTTTTGAAGAATATTTATTCAAACACCAGTTGTGGTGTGTGTTTAAATTGGTGTATTTGCTTATAATTCTGGCCATGTGTGTTTAAGTTAATTCCATAATTTTCATTCAACCTGTAAAACGGCTGCAATCATTAGAGCATATATTTATATATTACTTTTACTAGAGAATGTTTGTAAACTACCAATAAGAGGTGTAGGTTTAACTAACTTTAACGTTTAGAATTACATAAAAATCTTTATAATTTGCATTTCAGTAGCTCCACATTGACTCCAGAGTTCAACCTTTGAAATGTAAATATTTGTCCTGAAGCTTCCCTCAGTTAAAATCTAAAACAAAGCACAGCAGGAAGCAAAACAGAAACAACAACTAACAGACCATGATTTCTACACACCATAAGCTGTTTGACCAGCGTGCGACCTATGGGGGTTAAGATTTATCTCGGTTTCTGTTTACAGCCACGTCTATTTCTGTCCACAGGTAACAAAAGGGAACTCAACCAATTAGAAAAGCAAAGAGACAGAACAGAAACGATAAACAAGTGCAGGTATGCCAGAAATGAAGGCGGGCAACATTTCTCTCTATTTAGTTAGATGAAAAAAAAGCATTTGCGGAGATAATAATAGGGATTAGCTGTAAACCGTGAGGGTGTGGGATGAACTGGTCTTGTGCCGAAAAAACACAAAGGAAATATGATATTTCAAACACATCAATTACCAAAGAGAGAAGAAAAAGTGCTCAGAGTGACAGATATTTAGCAGGTTAACATGCTCTCAGACACTGAAAGTTGATGCAGTGATTACACAACTGTGCTGCTGACCTTTCATTGGCGTGTTCCCATAGTTATCTAATGCTATAGTCATCAAAAATTACTATAACTTCCTTTAGAGAGGAGGGTTATGCAATTGAAGAAGGCAGACAGTGCATCCTGGAAAATAACATCAAATGCTGATAGAGAACAAGACATCAGTGCTCAATCCTAAAGATGACATGCGCCTAACTGAGCATGAGTGGCATGGGATTTTCTGAATACCCGAGAACACAGGAAAGGTTTCAAGAAAACAAGAAGCAGAGGCATGTGTGAGCTCAAGATGCTAATGAGAATGTTTATATCCCCAAAAGAATGGATGTATAATGTGAGCTGTTTTGTCTGGGAGGGATTTTTTCACTTAGGGGCATGCTTGAGAACACAATGCATGTTTTGTCTGCACTCTTAGTAACAGCCTTCTCAGGGCTACATATAAACAGAAGTAACCAGGTGGAGGGAGAGGAGTGCCGCTGATTTCATCACTTTCTCTGGGGAGTTAGGTCAACATATGGGGAAGATTTTATCTTTTATATAAAAAGAGAATAATAGTAAGTCAAAACAGAAAATAGAGTCCCATATGTGAAATAAAATTCCCAGTAAGACAGGGGACTGTACTTTTCAATGCTAACTACTCCTTGCTGACTTTGATGGGAAGAACTCTTTTTGTTCATTACGTAAATATCAGGATGGATCACCTGCAATGGATACCATTCAGAGCTTCACATAACCTCATTCCAGGTGTGGGACTAATTCCTAAAGGTTTTGACATTCATCTCCTCCACCTGGAGCATCAGAAAGAAACAACACAGCAAACCATTAACAGAGGAGACAAGTTCAGAGGGCATTTTTGGACAAAGCAGCAACATTTTTAAGGTGCATATTTAAAGGGTTTTGTTGAAACTGGGTCAGTTTTAAAGCCATTAGTGTCTTTCGTACACTCTCTGTCAGATGACGGATAGGACCAGGTAAATCCTGAATGATCACATCTTAGCTTTGGATATAAACCTGCCAGCTTTTAAAAAAAAAAGCTGGTAATGAATTTTGTTTGCACATACACAGCTCAAAAACGTGAGCTCATCAACAAAACAGCGTTCCCCTCTATGTAATGCAGCTGTGAGTGGAATGCATAAGCTCTAACTGTGTCCTCTAACCTACTGTTTGAGCTGTAATTATGATATCAAAGCTTTTGGTTAAACTCGGGTCAAGTCTGATCCCCAGCAGACAGATCCGAGTGCCAAAAAGTCCAGAGAGAAAGAACAGGATGTCTTATGTGAAGAGAATTCTTCACATAGTTGATTCAAGGGACATTTCCCATGACACAATTGCTGCCATTCCTTGGAAGACTGAGGTTTTGTATACAAACAGGTCTGAGGGACTGCCAAGCCAGAGGGTCAAACTGTGGCCCTCAGGGTTGCAGCTGACGTCAAAGCTTGTGTCGTTCTGAGTACTATAAACCTTCACTAATCTCAATTTTTTTCCTCTTTGAAAAAGTATGAAATATGAACTGATGAGACACGAACGAACTACAGCTTTAGAGAGGAATGAAAGTGTCCTCATACTTTGTGGTTTACAAAGAAAGGATGAAAAATGCTTTGTGCCAAATGCTGATCATTATCTCCTGTATTTTCTGTGGAACTTGCAAAAAATAAACTACTAACATATTGCACTGCATCATACTTGTAAAGATCTTGCTTTTAAAGTAAAATTTGTATAACATATTTCACAAAGTTGTGAACTAAAATTGTATCCTCATACTTTCTGAAAATGAATGTCCTGTCCTACATCATGCCAAAGCATCTTAAAGAGAACGAAGACCGAACTTTCACTTGACCATTCCAAATCCATCAGTTAGTCAAAGGTGGACTCACTGATTTGCTTTAAATCATAGTCCTGCTACATAACACAAGTTTTTCTGAGCAGATTGTAAGTGCTTATAAGTGTTTAATGAAAGTACCTCCCTCTGATTTCCCCTCTGAAATGTAAAACTAATCATCCTGAAGCATCCGAGGAGGGTCCGCCACATTAAAGAGCTTTCAGAACATCGTAGGGGGTAAGTCGAGTGGACCGTTTAACCCTTAAATAGCAAGTCAGCATCAGTGCAGACCTGCTGGAATTTGGCTGCAGGTGTAACGGCGACCTAATGGCGGAGGAAACATGTGCATTAAAGTAATTAATCTCATGTCAACCTGCGCCACACAGTTACAGCCACGCACATCTCATTGTGTCATCTCATTGCTATAGCATCGACTGCTTTCCTTCTCAGTTGGAGGGAAGATGCTATCCCATTCTTGTTTATACCCCACCACCATATTCAATCAAGGTGCCTTCCAAAGCTCCAAGTGCGACTTTATCAGGAGTGACCCTCGATAGTTAAGTGGTATTGGAAGGGGGCGATTTGGGATTCAGCCCACAACTTTCTGAACTTCAACCAGAACCTTTGTTTCCTGTCTTTCATCACTGTAAAGATTGATTAAATAAAGAGCGTCTGACCTGGTAACCATGGTAACACTGGACAGACACACCTGGATTAATCAGTCTGTCCAGTAATGAAAGACAGCAAACAATGTTTCAGGAAGTAGTTTTACAGTTAATATGGTTTACTGGCATCCCAATTCTCAAATTACTGACTAAGACATATACATTCCTCTGTAAGAAATGCATTGTTCTTTAGATCTGATAATGTTTTCAGCCCACTTCATGTTTTCAAACAGGTTGTATTTGAACAATTCTTGATTCTGCTTCTCTTGTGCTCATCAGTCCAGGATACCGCTAAAGGAATCGATCATAATTTATCTATTATTTCACATGTGGTGATGACTTTCAAATAGAGTACGGTTAGTTTGGATAGTTTCTTTCATGGTATTCTTCTATGAACTAAAACACTGATTGTTGATCTGAAACTAAAACAGATGCCATCTGTCAGATGGCTATTTATTTCTATCAAAGTGCTGTATGTGAGGTCACAAGTATTTAGATTTTCCACATAGCTTTTCTATTTTCAGCCAAGATGATTTTATCAAGAAACAACAGTAACCTTTGTCTCTTTTGTCACCTTACCATACATTTTTGTTTTTCACAAAAAGAGAGCTACAAGCACCAAGGTTGTCAGAGGTGAAAAATTTAAAGATCAGAAAAGAAACCAAAGCCACATCCTTGATGTTCATTTTCTCAACCACTTTCACAATGCACTCCGTCAGGCACTACAGCAGACTTTTGTAACTGTCAGAGAAATGAGTGCCATATTTAAGTGCATATATACATGAAACCTACCCTATCAGGAAAGCATGTTTTAGTTGCACAGATGTGGGTTTCTTTACATTTGGACAGTGGGACAAAATTTCCCATTATGTCATATTTTCAGTACAGTTTGAAGCTTAATACCAGCATACACATGCCATTGTTGATATGATCAAACACTACGTGTCTGTTATGTTTCAATATCCTAGATACGAGGAAGCTGTATCTCTTTCCTCATACTAGGATCCCTGAAATCATCACGTGAAGAACAGGAAGAAAAGAATGTAAGTTCTTATCAAAAGATGGATTTGATATTTAAACTGTAAACTATTCTCTTGTGAGAAATAAAACATCAACTAAAAAGCTTCATCTACATTTGTCAGGTATAGCGTGCCATTTAACTTCACCGCATGCACCGCAGCGCGTCTATAGTTGTTTCACTTCTACTCACTACTCTCACATGGGACATCCTGTCGAACACATCTGCTTCTGTTCCCTTTATTAAAGTACAACTCTTATTCTAAGTCGACATGCATTCATGAGTCTCCTCTGGACTCACAGTCTTTCACCGGATTAGCATAAGAATGCAAAGGCCTCAGGTGACTGTAGAGCCAATCTTTTTCCAGTCTTAAACTGGTTTCAATGCAGAGTCCACATGGCAATCTTCTGCATCAAATATCTTAAATGAGCTTTCACTTTTTTTCTGTAAAATGCCACAAAGGCATGTGGCTGTGCACGTGGGATAACTTTCCTCTGGCTCTCCTCACAGCTGTAGACTTTTTAAAAGTCTGTTTGCCCTTGTGATGTGGGTTAGCCTTGCCAGAGAGTAATTTTAATGTCTTTCTGGGTCACTGTGCACTTCCAGTGGACCTCCTGATAATTATTGTGCCTCAGAGAAACTGCAGGTCATGTGTGGCAAGAAGCTTCCAAAAAAATCTGGTGCTTTCACTGTGTTGATAGAATTGATCCAAAGACGGACAGCTAGCATTTTTGACTGCAGCTCGACTGTTAGAGAGTAGACTGTTATAAACAGGACACAAGGCTGAGCAAGGAAACATTTCATGTTCCTCCACTCACATGTTGGCTCATTGTCATTTTTAGCATTGCAATGTTCTTAGGTAGAGCATGCAATATGAATCAGACAGGCAAAACTATGGTCTGCCTCTGTAGTTCAAATGGAAACAACAAATCCCAATATTTCAAGAAATAAAACAGCTAAATTCCAACTTAGGTCACTCAGTTCAAAAGCTTAAAACAATACATGGGAGTTGTAGATTTTTCTAAGAGGCTCAATGTTCACTGTTATCTGTCCTGCAGACTGTGGGACAGCAGCCAAACTGATGCCATCTCAAGGAGAGGAACGCAACAAAATGGCAGGAAATTCCTTCTTGGTTGGCTCCCATCAAAAAAAAGAAATTCTTTTTAAATCTGGCTGCCAAGCAGTTTCACAAATATGCAAGCTGTTCTTACAAACAACGCAATGATTTGTTGAAGAATTGTCATGTAATTGTGACCAACATGGGGCTGTTCACTGTGCCCACAATCCTATTCAGCTTAAAAGTGAACATGCTAAAGATTAACATTCTTTTGCATGGAGAGTAAAAAGCTTTCAGTTACTATTCAATATTTTTCTATGTATTAGAAATTGAAATAAGGACGTGACTGTTCCAAATGGCTCAGATGGTCATGTAAACAACAGTTAAGTCAGAAATCAACTCTCTCAAATGAATATATTGCACACAATGCCACCTGCTGGTAACCCTTTGATCTTCAAATAAAGAGATTTTTTAGATAAAATAAAAATAAAATAGAGATGTCTCTGCCCTGAGTGCAATAAATTCATTGAAAACCATTAATGTTATGCCTGATGATAAACATTTGCATGTTACACTGCATTAAGTGTTTTTAAATATGTCATACTAAATCAGGACACACCTTTAATCGGGGTCAGAAGTCCTACTTTTTCATCCTCCTATGTTTGCATAAGTTAAGTACCTCTCACTGAGGTTTCATGCCAGGAAGGCATTTTAGAGACTGCACTGTAGACAAGGTATGAAGAAAACAACAATTATGAGCTAACCTTACATCACTCATCACCAATCTATGAAAAATATGTCAGGTCTGTAAGTTAGAGATCTTCCTCTATTGCTGCTGTGTCAGACTAAAACCTATTTGTTATTCCATTGTTGATTTTTGGTCAATAAATCATAAGTCATTTGCTAAAAGGGACAATAGTGACATAATGATCTTGTGCTGCCATCTGGTGCTTAGTGAAAGCACAGACAGAATAACAAAGATGGGCTTAGATCGGTCATGATGTCATTCCTTCCAACCAATCATTGGACCTTCTCATTAATACTGCTGGAAACTTTTGCATAACACACCAAAACGAGGTTTTGTCTCCCACACATCCCTAATAAAAATAAAACAATCCTGACTTACAAGGTCATGAGAAAAAAAAATGGAGCACCAGGTGGTTGATAACGCATGGCCTTGTGATGGTCAGAGAGCAAATTTTACCAACCTCAAATCCCATTGTCTCACTTAGTTTGACTGTCTGTACTTTGCAGCAGCTACTTTCTTTGTGAATACAACATTTTTAAGACTCCATCATGTCCGCGAACAAGAAAGTAGTGTTGATTACCGGATGCTCCTCTGGGATTGGGCTCAGCCTGGCTGTGCGTTTGGCCTCAGACTCCAGCAAAACATTCAAAGGTAACAACAGACAACACTTTTTAGTTATAATCTTGATGCATTGTTCAAGAGCTTTAAATTGGGTAAAGCTATTTAATTACAAATGAACACAAAATACCTTGTCACTCTATCAGATTTTATAACAACGTTTCTTGCAATTCCTTCACTGTTCTATGCATTTTTTTAAATAAAGCAGAAACATGGCCTATGCCTTTTGTTTTAGTTTATGCCACAATGAGGAACCTGGCCAAGAAAGAACGTCTCTTAGAGAGTGTAAAAGGCCTACACCGCGATACTTTGGAAATCCTTCAAATGGACGTGACTGATAGGCAATCCATCATGAACGCGCGAGAAAAAGTGGTGGAGAAACGGGTGGACATTCTAGGTTTGTTCCTGAACCTTTGTTATTTCCTTCAAATTGGATTGGTTGCCATTTCCAGGTGTTAATGGCCCAGTTTTCTATATTTACAGTCTGTAACGCCGGTGTTGGTTTAATGGGACCTCTAGAGATTCAGTCCTTAGACTCAATGAAGCATATTCTGGAGGTCAATCTTCTCGGCACCATTCAGACCATTCAGGTCTTCTTGTCAGACATGAAAGCTCAAGGTCAGGGCCGGATTCTGGTTACTGGCAGCACAGGAGGACTTCACGGTGAGTTAAACAAACCAAAAAGGAGTTATGTTAATTTTTTTCCTAAACAGCTTACTTCAATGTTCTCGCAGGTCTTCCATTTAATGAAGTGTACTGTGCCAGTAAGTTTGCAATTGAGGGAGCATGCGAGAGTCTGGCTGTTCTTTTGCAACACTTTAATATCCAGTGAGTTTTAATGGCCATCTTAACTGAATTTTGTAAATGAGCATGCTTAAGAATTGTTCAATAACTAAATCTAACTTAGAACAGACTAAATGAAATGTTTTTGTTTCACAGAGTCAGTCTCATTGAGTGTGGTCCAGTCAATAGTGACTTTCTCGTTAACCTGCAGAAGGCGGAGCTCGGGGATGAATCTCTTCAACAGGTTGATGGCCAAACGCTCAGTCTGTATGAAAAATACCTGCAACACTGCAGCATGGTTTTCCAAAACGCTGCACAAGACACCGAAGACATTGTAAAGGTGTGCAAGGGGTCTCTAGCACTATGATATCCTCATCACTAACCGCACTGCAGAAATAAATTAAGTTTGGTAAAATGAATTACATAACATGAGACTGCAATAAAATTAAATCACATCACACAACCCATGAACACATGTACCACAAAGTATTTATTGGCATTGATTTCTTTCATTTTGGAAGATCCGTGATCGGCCAATACTTGATGTGAAAATCAATGCTCTAAACATTGATTCATATTTGATAACAGGTTTTCTTATTTCATGTGTACTTATACATGCCTTTCATTAAGAAAATATTAAAATATTTAAGTGTTTTATGATCTTATAACAACTGACTCTGTCGGCTATGGAAAAAAAATCGGCATTGATCAAAATCAAAATCTGCATGTTCGGCTTTTTAGAGATTAGGAATCGGCGATCGGCCAGAAAGCTGCAATCAGTGCACCCTAAGGCCTAATGATTTAACAGCTATTCCTTGGTAGAGAACTATTTTGTAATATATATGTAATTCTAATGATAATGCTTTACTGCAATGATTTCCATACTCTCCAGTGTCATAATGCACAACATTTGTCTTTTATTGATTGAAAAACACTAAGAATCTTTTTGTGTCAAAATCCTGCTAGGTTTATAAGGCTACATAAATGCTTTCCGTAGAAAAGGAAAAAAAATGGATATAATATAACTAATTAATAACTACTTTGCAGCTGTAAAATTAGAACTACGGTTCAACAGAATAAAGTGTAAAAATGATATTTTCATGTACCCTAAAATATATATAGAAGTCAAAACAGCCCCATACACCAGCAGCTTCAGCAAAGACTACTGAATAATATTAGGTCAACAAAATTATTACAAAGGATAAGTTTTAAAAATAATAACATATAAAAAAAAATAAAATCAGAAACTTATTCAAATCCAGCTGACCTAAAACAAAAGCAAAAACCAATTGAAGTTAAGATTTTTTTTCTTAATTAAAAACTTTTAAAAAGAATATTACTGTTTATTTTTTTGTAAAAATATAAAACAGGATGAAATAAGTAGTTTAAAATCATCTTGTTGAAGTAAAACGTACCTATTCTGGAAATGACGTTGTCAGAATAGCAGCGTATCCTGATCCAAAACTCATTGTTAGCATTGCTGGTTGATTCAGTAATGTGGATTTTAATAAGATTGAGCAGCAATCTTAAATCACTGAAAGTACATGGCGGGCTTTAAATTCTTGTTTTCCGCCATTACTAATTGTAATCCTGTTGATAGTGACTCAGTTGGAGGAAAGATAAAGTTATGGAGCTTATCCAAATATTTTTTCACTTTTTGTAATAATAATAATAATAAATACATATTATTATTATTGCATTTGTTTTCTCACATCTTTGATTTTTTTCTCTTCAGGTATTTCTAGAAGCCATCCATTCAACCAAACCTGCATTCAGATACTTCACCAACAGCGTCATGCCGCCTCTCACCAACCTGAAAGTCTCAGAACCGGATGGAATGAATTACATAACAGCTTTGAGCCAGATCATTTTTACAGATGATCAATAATTCCAGAAATGTCATTCATGCTCTCACTGTATCTGCAGACTTTGGCCTAGATTAAAAGAACAATATTTGCTTCTTCTAATTTTAGCTTCTGGGACAAAGTTGATAAAGTGAGTTTTGTAAGAAGAGTTCACAAAAAGAGGTGGTTTCATAGTCTATTTTAGTCTGTTAGTTTTACTTGTGGAATACTGCGTACTAAAGATTATGCATCAAGGTTTAAGTCATTCCACAGTCTTTGCATGTTATTCAATAGCTCGCTTATCTCACATTCCTTATTATCTCTGTTATGCCCAAGCTTCAGGCAGTATTCTTGTGATGCCTTGTTGAGGTTGAACATTTCTAAAAATGTACTTATGTAATTTTTGTTCATTTTCTATTTTTGAAATGTGGGGATATTTTTAAACCAGTTACAGAACTGTGGTTATGTAAAGAAATAAAGCTAACCCTTGAAAAATGACAATTATCATAAAGTGTTGCAGACTCAGGAAGACATTCTTCGAGGAGACCCAAAGTAAATGAAGAAGAGAACATCTGCATGTTTCATATACAGTACAGATGAAGCAATAATCTTTTGTTCACTTCTTCAAGTCAGATTTCTGCTTATATGTCATGTCACATACAGGATTGTAGGATTCATTATATCTGGATATTGTGATATTTTGAGTTCCCTATGCTAAAAGAAGTATGATAGGAAGGATACAGATTCATTTTCCAACGCAAGCACTATTGAGACACCTCTTATCATGCTGACACACTCCGTTTGGCTAAAGAGTGATTACCCATTTGCTGTAGTCCGACTGACTCAAACATAAATGCAAAGAAAGCTGTAGAGCTTGACGACTCCATTTTGTCCATCTTTCCTACAGGACACCACCTCGATCTGAAGAGACTAAAGCAGGGTTTGTATCGCCACCCCTGGGATGATATCTCCTATGTATTGCCTGAGCATATTTCTATGTAATTAAAGACACTAAGCTGCTACCAGAGGTGGTTAGAGTACCCACAAATGGGACTTAAGTAAATTAGTACTACTTTACTCAACTAGAAATAAAAAAAATATAGCCTTTGAAGAAATTAGTCAAGTTAGGGTAAAAAAGTATTTGGTAAAAAGGCTACTCAAGTACAGAGTAAGAGATGTACTGGCTACCAATGTTCAAAACAGCTGATTTAATATTTTTTAGTTATTTAACTTACAAAATCAATAACTAGACAATGAAAGAGTAGGTTAAATTACAATAATCAGTTTACTGTATTATCACTGAGCCTCCAACGATACGGCAAACAATTCAGTTGGAAAATAACATTTAACCAATGAGTCTTGACTACAAAGATGTTTTGTTTAAAACAAGCTTGTTCTCAGTGGATTACTCTAAATGGATGGAGTAGACAGAAAATGTACTCAAATAAAACTATCAACATATTTTTACTCTAGTAAAAGTAGAAATTAAAATGCTCTAAAACTACTACTAAAATTTCATTAAAAAAAAAGTTACTCATGTGAATGTAACTAGTAACTACCCACCTCTGGCTGCTACGCGCCATCCATCAGTTCCACACTCTGATCTGCTACTTCAGAAACTACATAGTGGCAATATATAGGGACCACTTGTCATCATTCTGCTTCATTGCATCTCTATTCTCCCACTCTGCAGTATTTTTCAGTTCAATCTCTAACTTTATGTTCTCTCTGTTTTTCCTTATAGTAGCTTCATCCGGTCTGTTCCTTTTTGGCTTTGACACCATCCCGGAGAGAAATATAATTTGTGCCGCTGCCATCAACACCTTTGTTTATAGATGTTAGAGCTTGGCCTGTTTTTCAGTGTAGTCCTGTTTCTCTGACTGTGACTAACTGTATGTGCTCTCTCTATCTCTTCTGGAGCTGGCTCAGAGCTTGTCTACCTGGCTGGTGTTTCCTGGACGGGGCCACCTGAGGAGCTGACTGACAGTTGCCTTTTGTATTTCTTCTTCTTTTTTTATGTCTGTTTCTGTCTCCTTGAACCCCAGTGTAGCTCGGCACTGAGCCTGGTTCTGTTGGAAGTTCCTTCCTGTTAAAAGGGAGTTTTCCTCTCCCCTCTCGCTACAAGCATGCTTGGTGTGAGGAATTGCTTTCAAGTCAATGAGGCGATACAATCAGCTGCTTTTGATTAGATAGAAAACTTTAAACCATTCTGACCATATGATCTGGTTGAATTGTCTCTGTAGAGAGCCTTGAGATGACATGTGCTCTGACGTCGCTATATAAATAAATAAAATAACTGAATTCTACGGTGGGTAGGAAAGGAACTCAGGATGCTCATACATTATTATGCCATGGAAACATAAATACATGCTAAATGAATAAATGACAACAGAAAGCCAAAAAGAACTAAAAAAAAAAAAACACAAATTACACAAATGTTGCAAAATGCTGAAAGTCTCCATTACACAAACCGAAACAAGAAGCATTTTTTAGATGCTGTTTTATTATTCTCTCTAAAGGGCTAAAAATTTTTCAAACCAAGCTGATTTTGAATGAAAAGTGATGGTATCCCAATAAAAATAATTAGTAAGCCGTTTTTTCATTGGCCACAAACAGACTTGATTATGACCAGAACCATTAAGTTCTCTTTTTCATCAAAATCATTTCATTGTGGCAAGAAAAACAAAAAAATATATATTTTTAAGGATTAAATATTAATTTAAAGAACTGTTTTATTAATATTACTATTAAAATAACAGCTTTAATTACTCCGGTTTAACCCCTTAATGCCTCGGGTGTTTACAGAAGTTATTTGTCAGGTTTTCATGTTGCGTTTAAGGCCAAATTTGGTGACAGACGTTTCAAGCAAATAGACTGGAATGCATCATGAGTTGTTTGTTGTACTCAGTGAAAGGCCTGTGACAAGATATCAGCCAAAACAAACAGAACAAACAAAAATCAAATAAAACTTCTTATTAATGATATGCAAAACAAAGAAGTCCTTTTTTTGCTCCTTTCTCTTTCAAGAGATTTCTAAAAACCTCCGGATTTATTTGTTCAATCTAAATTTGACAGATTACATTAAATCTTCAACAAACTGGCCAGGTAAAAAAAAATGTTGCATAAGGGTTCAAGAATTAAGGTCAAAGTGGACAGAGGCAACAGACTTTACTATGTAATATTTAATTTAGTCAGGGGATCAGCCTATGCTTGTCTGACATCAGTCAGGTTATCTCACCTGTTCATCTATGTCATGCGTATTTAATCTATTTTTTGAACTGGATGACAGAGGCTCCTAAATCCTTTCCTGATCAGGTGCTCTAATCCCTCTTGGGATCCTTTTAGGATCCAATGCCAACAGGTTTGGCTTTGTTAGCACATAATCATTTAAAAACGAAGCGCTTAGAGAATCTCTTTAGAACGTGAAGCATTACATAGATCAGTATAATTGGGGTTAAAGGCTGTTGTAAATAGTTACTCATTATTATTATTATTTTTTTTTTACAAAGTATCTGCATTGGTGAGTTGCTATATTTTTTAGAGCAGATTTATGAAAACAAATAGTGCCTGTATTATCTCTGGTTTAAATTATCTGGTTTAATTATTACTCCAATCAGTTTCATGACCTCTACTGTTGGTCATATCAGCCCACGTTCATCATGTGCTGGTCATTGACCAGCTGGACAATCATTATATCTTTTGAGTGGAAAATACTTTAAATTCCATACCCTTGGATGCTAAACTCCTTTTGATGTAGACAAAACCCCCTCTTTATTTCTTACAATTTTTTAAATAGGCTATATCAAATGCAAGCAAATCATTAATCCTTTTTGATAGACTATTTTCACAAGAAAATGAAAAAAAAAATGCCTCTGAACTGTGAAATTTATTACTAACATTAATGCTATGTTCAGACCACAGTCAGCAGAAAAAATGTGCGTGCTGCTTTATTTTTGATGCTTGTACAAGTTTAGCAGTAATGCGTGGCTGAAGCATCTTTGCTGCTCCTTTATTTGTCTGTAACAATGGCTGCTATATTTGCTGTGATCAGTGGGTAAAAACTAGTTTTAATGTTTTTTTGGTGAGAAAGTCCTCCTGAAAACTTCATCTGTGCAATCAGTTCATCTAGATAACGATTCTGCCTTCAAATATTATTTTGCTGCTGTAGCCGTCAGATCCCCGTACACCGGCAGTTCTCTATCACTGGGAATCCTATTCAACGGCAGCTTCTGGCCCCGGGCGTCTCTTCGCGGTTTTCCGCTACTGTTCGTGGCGGCTGGTAGGCATTTTTCATGTACGAAATCCAAACTAGAGGCACCAGAAAACTTGAACATATTTCGACGGGCAGGTTTAACATTTTAAGCAAGTTTAGGAATTAATGAACTATTTCAGTGGAGTGATCATAGCGTTCTGCATCAGCAGTGCTGTGTCTGTCTCTGATTGGTTGATGTGGCGCGTCAAGCAGCAAAAGTTAAAATTTTCCAAGTCCAGCTCTACTTCAACTTCTCAGATGCGCTGCTCCTGCTGGTCAAAACACACTGCAAAAACTTTTGCTGCGCCTTGATGCACATCAACTATTGACTTTGCATGTAAACTAGCTGCTTCTGCAACGTGCGGTCTGAACGTAGCATTTATACTGCAGTGAGTCAGTGGATTTTTTGGTAATTGGTAACCCGGCATAAGCCAGATTGTTAAGTGTATTTCAATTTCAATTCTGCACAGAAGTTTGTGAATTCATAAATCTTGCAACAATTATTCTTGCTTGCAACATAATGGTAATTGAATGTTCTAATCAGAAACCAGAAGTAAAAAAATAAAAAAAGTAGTTTGATGATTTTTTTTTAATTAAAAAAAAAATCTAAAATGGACATTATTAAGTAGAGATTTTAATTAGTGTAAATTTCCCGTTTATATATTTTCGTAACAAAAGACCAGGTAACCCGTAAAGAGACATGAACAACATTTTCATATCAATCTACAGGTAGCCATTTTTTTCATGCAGACCAAAGGGCTGCATATTGATTGGGTTTGGACCACCAGAATCATTCCCAATCTAATGTAAGTGATTTACCAAACCACACATTTTGTCCCGAGAAAAAAAAAAAAAAAAAAAAGAACACTTCTAAAATTTGGATGAAGTTGAGCCAGGATGAGCATTTGAGAAAATACTGTAGTCAAATTCCATCACAATTAATCTTCACCCCTACCACATGCATATATAAAAGATTAAAGCATATATTCCTGGTGCCATTTTTATTTTTTCCTTTTCCAGCGAGTCCATCTTTTGCAAAATAAAATATATAAAGTCAAATTACAATTTCTTACTTTCAGTTTTTGACCAATGAAAATCGGCTTGTATGTTAATAAAAATGTATTTTTAAAAAATCTATCAACTACCTAGTGTTTCTCACTACTCTTTCCAGATAAGAAAATCAAATTAAGACAATACTCATAACTTTGCAGCATTTAAACAACAAAAATACAAGACTAGTAATTAAAAGTAAGGGAAAAGCATTATTTTACAGCATTTTCGATTAATAACTCAAACGTATAAAATAATAAAACCCATTTTACACAGTCCATTTTGAGCAACACTACAAATACACTAAACATAGTGATATCTAACCATATAGGAATTTTCTTACTGTACTATTACTGTACGTTTTGCAACTCCTTCAGCGTATCATTTAAAAACTACCCACGCGCCCTCTGATTGGTCAACCCAAATGACAGAGCACGTTACGTAAAATACTTCCTTATTTGGCAGTATGGCCACGCCCCTCTGGCTTCTATAAAGTGCTCGAGCTGTCGCTGCTGAGGTAAAGCTTCACCGGTTAGTTTGTGGACTGTTTGTTTTAATGGAAAAATTCAAAATGAGCAGAAGAACGAGTTCTCTTCTGTTTAAGGCGCTAGTAGATGTGAAGGATGGTAAACTTTTAAAGGCTGTGCGTGGAAACCATAGAAGAGCGCATTTTAGGTGAGTGACTTTTCCCACGCGAGATGAATTTCTACCCTTTAATTGAATCAGATTAGATCATTTCCCTCAATCAATTAGAGAAAAAAATAAGTATTTCAGCTTTTATTTGAGCAATAACAAACAGTACAGTATTTTATTTTGTTTATATAATTATGTTATTCTTATACATTTTTCTAAAGTCCACATGACCATTTTTTATAATCTTTTTGCTTCTTTAAACACCAAAATGTCCCCATTGGTGACAATTTAATAGATTTTGTATTCTATTCTATTCTATTCTAAACATTACCTACCTAAGGCAGGGGCGGATTTAGTAAATTTGGGGCCCTAGGCAAAGACAGGCATGGGGCCCTCTGAATTGAGAAGACAACACATAAAACAGACCCATTATACGGATACAGAAATTTTAATATAATAGATATACATAATTTTTTCTACGTTTTGTCCCTCTTCTTGTTTTCCTCTCTCTGTTTTGTACTCGGCTGACTTTTCATGCCATCTCAAAAGGAATGATGCTAAGCTCACTTAACCGATTGCTCCTTCTTGTGTTTCCAAAAAGGCGACGGCAAAAGTAAATGACCCAGTCCTTCTTTCCACTGTAGACAAGCTATGATCAACTAATCGGTTCTCCATTTTTCATTTGTATGAAACAATAGCTGCATGAATCATGACAGGAGACAAGAGAGAGGAGAGCAGGAGGCGGGTTACCAATTTACTTGCTGTGGAGAGCAGAGTTTGCTGCTTTTATATCTTGTTGCCAAGGTCTCCATTAGCAGAAAAAAAGTCACTAGATTTGGCGCTAGGTGCTTTTTTGAAATGAAAGCACTAAAGGGGTCTGAAAAGTTGTTGAATACACCTGTGACTGAGACACACTTATTATAAGCATTCTGAAGGTGTTTTAGGGGAATTTTATAAAAAACCTCATTAATGTGCACAAATAATAGCTGTATTAACCATATATGGAAAAGGAGTTTTATGGGGCCCCTAGGTTTGCCTAATGGTAAATCCACCCCTGACCTAAGGCAAATTTCCAGGTTTACACCTTTCCAAAGTGACCAGAATGTTTTGGATGTGGGGTAAACTCACCAAATAAAGATCTTTTCAGGAGGGACTTAAGCTAAAATGTTTTCACAGATTTTTCATGAATTTTCTATTTTATTCCTCTTTAGGCATTTGGGATCTTGTGGGATCCTGGCAGAAAGGAGAACCAGCTTTCAGCTCCGCCCTACTCTTCCCATGAGGTCCACCAGGCGCACTTTCATCAGCCTGGCTGCTCCCATCAGTAACCGTAGGATGGAGTACACTGAGAGCAGGATATTAGAGTAGGTTTCTCACACGTCATTGATTACTTTCTAGACTGTAAACCAAAAAGTTTGCAAAATATTTTGGAGGAAAAAAGTGCAGAGATCATCTAGAGCTATAAAAAGTGATGGGTGTAATTTCCTGTGTGATTGTTTGTTCAGGTACACTCCAGAAGAGATGTACAACGTGGTGGCTAACGTGGAAGAGTACAAGTATTTTGTTCCCTGGTGCAAGAAGTCTCGAATGGTGAAGGGACCGAATGGTGACATCCTGGCAGAACTGGAAATCGGTTTTCCTCCAATCACTGAGAGATATACATCTAAGCTCACGTTTGTTCCTAACCACCAAGTCAGAGTAAGTTCTTAGAATGACAATTATATCAAAGTTTATTACTTTATCTATTCCTTTATTATTTATATTTTATTCCTTAGTATGTCCTCTAACACTAATTGAAAAAATCTATCCTAGAAAAGCTTTTTGTTTGCTAAGCTTTACTTTTATCCACCATTTGCTTGGATTTCTGTAACATTAAAATTTAGTTTTTATTGTTATCCAGAGTAAAATGAAATATTAACTTTTAGCAATGACATATTTGTTTTTTAAACAGGCTGTGTGCTCTGACGGATCGCTCTTCAGCCATCTTGAAACGATGTGGAGGTTTGCCCCCGGAGCCAAAGACCTACCAGGCTCCTGCAAGGTGGATTTCTCTGTAAGTATTTCTATCTGAATAAAATGAACTGTTGAATGAAATTGGATAAACAGACTTAAATGTGACCAAACTGAACATAAATCTCTAAAACTGTCCATAAAACAGATTTTCAAATTTAATAAATTGAGATCAAACCAGAAACCTAGAAGTCCCACTTTTTACCCTTCCTTTGGATTAAACTACTGAGAGGAAGTGCCGGATAAAATCTCATTATGCTCTAAATTAGGTCTTGTGCAGCGTGCTGGGGTTGTGTAAGTTCTGAATAGCAGTAAATTTAGCATCTTAAGGAGCTACTGGCAGGAGTTTGACCTTAATTTTGGCCCAGATTACGCCAAGATTAACCTGATAGATTACAGCATGATGTGTTAAGTAAGATTCTTTAGGCTTCGGTCATCTGACTTGACTTCTAAAATGTCAAAGACTCCATGGACATTGATTTTTATAGTCATTTGTAATTCTTATTTAACATCTGGCTTCTTTTTTTGTCTCATGCAGGTGTCCTTTGAGTTCAAGTCTCTGCTGCACTCTCAGCTGGCCTGCGTTTTCTTCGACGAAGTTGTGAAGCAGATGGTCAGTGCCTTCGAGTCCCATGCAGCAACACTTTACAGAAACAAGCGAGTCGCTTCATTGAGGAGTCGCGCAGCTCTGAGCAAACAGCTCTGACCTCTGCAGTGACCTTATTCTCTCTGGATTTGACCAAAACCCAGCCATCAAGCTGCTTTAACCAGTCAACACTTGACCATTGTCTAAGACCAGTTCTCCTCTTTGCACACAGCTATGTTTTATTGATATGTAAACAGAAAGTACTCAAACTGTATTTATTTTTTGAGCCAAATTTTAATTTATTTATATTCTGTACATTTGTATTTATTTTTCTGAAAGTGGTAAATGTATAGGGTAAGTAAATCAAATAAAAAGTTGTTTTAATGATTGAAGTGATTCTGATGCAGCAACAATTTGTGCAGCGACAGATTAAAAGGCATTGCCAGTACATATCGGAACTGCAGGTGTGTGTATTTGTAATCTGTTATTGCCGACTCATTGTTAGGTAAGCATATGAGGAAAGGGGGGAAAAAAACAACTTACAGGAATAGTTGCTCAATGACCTTAGAGGCAGTTGACCTGTCCCTCCTGACTGGATATTCCGAGAACAGATATGCAAGCTTAATGGTAGCTTGGGTTGGGTTTCAGGGAATCTTTCCAAAGAATGCTCTAGTTTGCCTTTTTTTTTTTTTTCTTGAGATGGAAATTACTCAACTTTTCACAAGACTGAGGTTTAAAAAAAGATCCAAATGTAAAATACACGAAATAAAAACTAGTCCAGGCCTGATTGGGATGTATAGCATGAACTATGCTTGAAGAGATATGCTATACTCTTTATTCAAGGTGCTTTTTTATTTGTACCTGCTTAATGATTAATAATTGACCCTCTTCTATGGTGTATATCACCCACCGTGAGTTTTTTTCCTAAATCAATCAACATGACATCTAAAAACTAGGCGGTACATCCTTTAAAAATGTCTTTGGAACTTGTATTTCCACTTTTGCACAATACATACTAGGTAAAGCGAAAAACAAATCTGAGGAATGTGTAGAAAAAAATGAGTATATATTGTTAAACTGAAATTTCCACTGAAATGAAGGAGAGAAACTATATAAGAAAATGAATACTGGGAACTGAAGGAGACAGAGGAAATCTTTATGAATAAAAAAGCAATATTCATTTATCTGCATAACACAAAACTAATAAACAGCAATTAGTGGGTGGAAGCTAGTTTTACATACCATTGTATAATAAGTGGCAGTATGCACCTATGACCTGCTTGCAACCTGCTCTAATAAGAGAGAAGAAGAAGAAAAGTAGGTGGATAGGTTGGAGAAGTCTGTGGACAAAGGCAAACAATCCAAACGCTTCAAGCATGAAGACGGTTGTTGTTCTTTTACTGGCATTCAAGCTCTGTTGTTCTGATCTTGGACCTGATGAAAACAATGCAAAACTTGGCCAGGGCTCAGGCTTCGCCAGCTGCTGTAACATCTGCCCTCTCACATCTGTAACTCAAACTGTTGGAGAGCTGAAAGAGAAAGTTGCCAACATGGAAGAAAAAATAACTTTTCTGGAGACCAGGCTGCAAAGCACGGAAAAAGAAGTCCTGGAGTTACGGAGCCTCATTGGAGGTAATCGATTTATCAACTTTATGATGACTTATATTACCTCCTGGTCCAATTTTCCAAAGTATTTGTGGTATGCTTGATGTTTTTAGGTGCTCCTCAGGTGGCTTTTTCTGCAGCTCTCAGGGATTCTGGCTCCGGAAACACTGGGCCTTTTACCACTGTTATCCCACTGCAGTATAAAAAGGTTTTCTCCAACACTGGCAATTGCTATAATCCTTCAACAGGTGTGTTTAACTTAACAAAGAAATTTATATAAAGGGGAGGGGGGAGATAATGAAGCTGTATTATTTGAAGGCCTGCGTTATATTTCTTCTAATCCTTCACACGGCAGGTGTTTTCACAGCAATGGTCAGTGGAATGTACTTCTTTCGATTCTCAATGTTCAACAACTTGGCTCCTACTCCCAGCTCGGTTGTTAGCCTGATGAAGAACAGTGAGCGGTTGACGTCTGTGTGGGACACCAGTGGGACTGATAGTAACGACATGGGCAGCAACGCCGTGGTCATCCCTCTGAAAGTGGGAGATAATGTGTACGTGCAGCTGGAACCAAACAGGATGGTGTATGATGACAGCATGAACTACAACACATTCAGCGGCTTCCTGCTCTTTCGTATGTGATGCTTCTAACACGTGTCCCGGCATGCTTCTTCCATCATTTTACAGTAAAGAAATTTACTTCTATTGTAGTTTCAAATTGTGATCTAAATAAAATGAGGGATACCTTTATTTGAATTTGGGTTACATAAATATATTAAATATATATCCTGAGCATTATATAACAGGGAGCTTTTCCATTGGCGGATCTAGGGTGTGGCTACTTGGGCTACAGCCCCGGATGTTTTCCCAAGAAACCCGGATCTAAGCCTCTAAGCTGATCTGAGTAAAATGTGCAGTACTGGAATTCACCAGAGAGTGGCAGCATGCAGAACACTAGGAAAACGACCTAGAAATAAGTAGAAATTTCTTAAATTAACTGTATTTATTCTTAATATGAGTTGGTAAATGAGATAGTTTGCCAATAGAATGAGTATTTCTTACTCTTAAAATAAGATAATTAGATAATAAGCACTTGAAATAAGACAATGCAATTGTGTTTTCTTATTTTAAGTGTAAATTGTCTTGGTCCATTGGAAAAATGTCTTTTATCTCCTCAATCCAAGAACAAATGCACTTATTTTAAGAAAAAAATGACTTATCTAGATTTAAATTTTTTCCAGTGAGGCAGAAGTGTTTCTCTCTCGCTGCTGCCACTTTAGCCCAGCTCTACGTACAGCTCAGTCCAGGTGGCTAAAATATTAGATTTTCCTCTCATAACTCTGGCAAATAATGATCAAATGTTACAAAATCCACAGTAACTATTGTTGATGAAGAGAGGAATAAACACAGTTAAAGACTTGCAGGTAAATTAATTTCTTCCCATGTTAGCAGGGGGAACCGATTATTTCAGGCAGCTGAAATATCCATTCTGTCCTCCTCCTCCTTCCATATTTTTAGGAAGTATGTGTGCATGTCATATGCCTGAAATTTCCCTAATCCAGTAATCTATCATATTTTACATCAGAATGGGATTTACCAGAAAGTCTACACTCTCACCTTCACCCTCAGGGCTAAGCCCCTGACCTCGTAGAATCCTAGATCCGCCCCTGACTTTTCAAGGAGGTTTAACTTTTAAAATAACCTTAGACTTATAAAAATGGAAACTTAATCATAGCCATTAATTTTAAATTTTGGGAAACCTTGGGCTGAAGGTGGGGGTTTACTTCAATAATGAAATTATAAACCACATGTTGGCACACTTTGAATCTGTAATTGCTGCTTTGAATCGTTGTAGCTTTATGTGTTTGTATACATAAAGGACAAATATTACTCAGAAATGACTGGTTGTAATTATTTTTAGGAAAAATACAAAGTTTTGTTTTGAATAAGATTAAACAACAGCAAAGAATTACTTGCTTTCGTTTTTAGACCCTCTGACCTTTAATGCTTTGGCAACTTGTTAACGAGAAGCACAGCAGAAAATTATTTGGAAACATCTAGTTCCACCAAATAAGACAAGATTTTATTATAAGTAAATGGATATAAATGGTGAAATGTAACTGTTTTTCTAAAGCTTTCATAAGGTCCATGAAGCCCCCATATTTTCTTTTTTAGGTCAGCATTAGAAATAAAGCTCTTACTTTCTCACTCAAATTTCAGACTTTTAGGGGAAGTCTCTGCGCAATTTGTAATAAAAACTTCTGAATTAAAATAGAATGAGTAATTATACCCCATCCTTAGTAGTTCCCAGCTCTGGTCCTCAGGGACCCCTGCCCTGCATGCTTTAACCATGTCTCTGATCCAGGTGACCTGATTAAAATCGTCAGCAATCAAGTGCTGCAGAAGCCTGTTAATCATCCATTCTTTTCTGGTGTGACGCAACAAGGAAACACATAAAACAGGCAATACAGGTTCCTGAGTAAAGCGGCTGGGAATCACACAAAACCAATAGACATGTAGTTTTCTTTATTAGATGGAATATGGCATTGTTGTCCCACTAAGTGGAAATGCATTTAGGGTGTTATTTGAAAGTTTCTCTATTTACTAAGGCAATCTTAATATTTAGTATATGCACTATTTTTGCACGCCACGTATCACTTTACTTGGATTTATCACTTTAGTTGGATATTCACTTTATTTGGATTTAGTTTTTTACATATGCATATATATATATATAGAAGAGCTACTGTATATGTGTATATATTTTCTCTTTTTATTCTTATTTTTTTTTAATCTTTATTATATTGTGTAGTTGGATGTGTATATATATATATATATATATATATATATATATATATATAAAAAACTGTAACTGGAGCGTGTAACGAAAGTAATTTCCCTCTGGGATTATTAAAGTATTTCTGAGTCTGATAAGAACTGATAAAAGGGTTAATTTTTTCACCTTGCCCTTCTCTCATTGGTTTCACTTTCTGGAGGAACTTAGTGATAGCTGATAGTATGTAATACTATATAGTGATTCAAACATCCATGTACTTAACCCTTGAAAATGGCCACGCCCCCTTTTGAAACAAATTAGACCTTACTGTTGGAATGGGAGCTGATGCAAAAGGATTAGTTGTTTTGCGAAAAAAAAAAAAGGTTCAGTGTTTTACAAAATAAAAGCAGAGAACAAACCATTAAATATGGCTTATATGCTTGTAATGGCATCCGATGTTTGAATGACATCACTTCAGACCATTGATTTATAACACTATAATGAAAAAGAAATTTTAGGTATTTTGGATTGCTTACACTGAAATTCTGCTTCCTTTATAGTTTTCTGTATAGCCAAACAAATAACTGATTAGCTGCCATGTTAGCATAGTTAGCATCTAAAATAAATAATCCTGCATCAGCTTCAATATATCGAACTTTAACTGGACAAAACAGCCCAGAATTGTACTAACATAACATTTGACAATAAAACTATAACATGTACCTAACCCTGTTGGTGAAACAGAGGTGAAAAATAAATTTATTTCTAAAGGGAAAAAAAACAGTAATTTTATAAACTTTATTATGTACAAAAATATTTGCTAATATTAATTCCTTTGAGAATGCACTTTAGACAAAGAGCTGCAAAGATGGCACAGAGGAAGTCATAAACTTAAACTAAACCCGCTTTTGATGGATCTGCGTTTCTTTCTAAGCAAAATAAAAACTGATGAAGCTAATTCTAGAATAAAGACTAAAAACATCTAAAAAAAATTTCCACTAAAACCTTAACGCAGATCAAAAATACGACACCATCCTTACAAATTGATACCAACAGTGTAGTTTTAGCCCATTTTATCTTTCGATATTAAGATTTAAATCCAACATACAGGTGCGGCTATGCTCCATAGTTCTCATTATCATCTAAAATCTAAATGTATAAATCAGTTTATAAATATGTCTTAGCCATACATGGAAATATCACCTCTTACTCAACAAAGGTTTGTAACTATATTCACGTACCTTATCTAGACTGTGTATATCAATGCGTTATAGTTTTCCAGTTGACCAACAAGCTTAACAGTACATTCCTCATTTGCCTCCTTTGCATCCATACGCACTGTAACTATATACATTTAGGCACTCAAGAACATCGTATCTGTACAGTTCCTCTTTGTTTTCATAGAAATGCTGACTCTATTACAGAACCGTTAGTTTAGCTTTGCAGGATATTTCCCCGTGGTCATTGGTTGCCCTGCAGGTGTAAACATTGCCATCCTCTGGTGCAACTTTTGAAAGAATCAGAGTGCAGCGGCCATCGTCTTCATACTCTATCTGGACGGTGGATGATTCCTCTATTGGTTCATCTCCGCACAGCCACACCACCTCTGGATCAGGATATCCTGCAGCAAATGAAACAAGAGTGAGATAGCTGGTGTTTTTACAGCCGAATACATGAACAAGGTAATAATACGGTAACAGTCAAATTGACCAGTTAATTTATCAGTAGATAATAAAGAAACTGTTTAAAATAAGGCTTTTCAAATGAAGCAGAAGCTGATTTATTAATGTGGAGTTACATAAATGAAGCAATAAAAATATAAAATTTTTGTTTTAGGTTTCCTTTCTAACCTTAAAATCTGTACATGTGGATACATAAAACATAAATGATTTGTTCTAAAGTGTTAAAACTATTCAGAAACTAAACGTTATTTACAATTAGTAGAACAGCACATTTTAAACAAATAGAATATGGGTTAAAAAAGGAATAAGAGGATATCAGTTTGCATATTTAATCTTAAACGGTTGCTGCTGCAAACAGAGTTATTGCTTTTTTTTCCAATTGAACCTCAAATATAATAGAACTGGTTATTATAATTATGACTTACTTAGTTTTGTTTGTGAACAGATGAACCTGGATTCAGTGTAACACTAATTACATCTATCTATCTATATATATACTCAGAGTTATGCAAGGCTGAAATATGTTAAAAATACCTATAAAAAGTATGGTTGTAGTAAGCAGTGGGAAGTCCTAAAAAGTGTATACCTCTTCCCACTCCTTTTAAATCCTGTTAATATCATGATATGACAAGGAAACTGAAAGTATAACTTATTTTTTGTTTTGTGTCCTTTTAAATAGTTTTTTGTTATATATTTTCCTTTTTATTTTCACTTAAATGGAAAATTTTATTTTCATTCATTCATTCATTCATTCATTCATTCATTCATTCATTCATTCATTCATTCATTCATTCATATTAATATAAAATTAACTACTTAACCTTATAATGTGGATATATATATATATTTTTAAAGTATTTTCATTTAATTAACTCTGCCAAGGAGGTTATGCTTTTAGGAAAGATTGTATGTTTGTCTCTGTGCAGCATAACTTGAAAACATATGGATGGATTTTAATGAAATTTTGTAACAGAGGTGCGCGTATACCAAGGAACAATTCATTTAAATTTGGTTAAGATCCAAACGACATGTGGGAGTTTTAGCTCTAGGTGTAGGTTACAATATGGGGCAAAATTTGCTGCTTGGCGGAAATCTGCACTCTCAAGGTTCTTTTCCAGTTTTTACTTGAAATTGTTGGTCGTTGGGTCTCTTTTGGAATACATTTGCTCTACTTTAATCTGGTGGTAGTTCTAGTTTTGTTACTGGTTGTGGGGACCAAGCAACTTAGCTCTGACATCGTTTCCAATCAACAGCACTTTAAATCTGTAGATCAACACACCTAACATCCTGGCCAGGTT